CCAGCTACTCACCAGTTGGGTAAAACTAACCTGTCTGACAGTGGTATTTATAAACACTTGTTTTTGTACTGTTCAAGTTATGTTTATATCAACCTATGTATTACTATGTTTCACTTACAGGGTTACAGATGATATTCTAGCAACGTCCAGGCCATCTACAAATGCTGTAAAAAATATTATAGAAGAATTTAAAAAGTGAGTTATTGAAAAGTAGTTATCTTTTCTTGGCTCAGCTGTTGCTGAAGTTGAGAAGAACTAAAAATTTTAATGAATGTACATCATAGTTCTGTTGTCCAGTATCTGGTGTTGTTCACTGTCATTTGTCATTCTACATGTCAATTTTTTTACTTCTTCCTGAAGTACAGTTATAATTGCTTTGATACTTGATATAAATCTATCTCAGGCAGTCCTCTTTTTGATTTGTTCATTTTATGATGATATCTTCAGTTCTCTAATTTTGATGAATATTTTTGTTATTTTGGGTGTAAGTGATATTTTTTTTTTTACTTTTTGAATACTGCAAGTCCTATTGCCTTGATAATGTATACATACTTCAGGTGAACCTCTCTCAGTTTTTGTAAACACAGTTTTTGTTACAGCAGAGTACTAGATTTCTGGGCCGACAAGTCACTTGTCTTGTGATGTCATCCATCACAATGGCTGTAATTTTGCTTAACCGTGACAAGCTTTCAGAAATGTTAGCATTCACAAGTAATAACTTGCACTAATGTACATTAGGTAGCATACAATGTACCAGTGATAGTACCTTTGAAAAAACCTGCTTATTGGTGTGACTGTGTGCTTTTCTACAGTTATATTTACCTCTGTGTGTCTGTTGACATTCTTGTTCCAATTCTAACTCATAAAATGTTGTTTATCAGTAAAACTGGAATTTATGAGGGATGCTGTATGCATCTTAACAGTAGCATCTACTTCATGCAGATAACTTAGATAGAAATTAGTTAAAAATAATTCTTTTTCTTTGATTTTGTTCTAGATGTGGAATAAATTCAATTATAAATTTACAAAGACCAGGAGAGCATGCAAGTTGTGGATCTCCTTTAGAAGAAGAGAGTGGATTTTCTTATTTACCGAAAGACTTTATGGACGAAAACAGTAAGTGCTTACTCGGCTTGTGTTCATTCACTCAGTGTAATCATAATTAGTCTACTTGTACAAATGAGTTTCAACAAAAGTAAAATAAATGGTGTGCAATCCCACCATACAAAAAATGTGTGCTTATATACTGACCTTGTAGAATTTTATTATATTTTAGAATATTATATTTTGTTTTACAGTTTTTTTCTACAATTTTGGGTGGGATGACTATGGCATACGCTCCTTACCGTCCATACTTGACATGGTCAAAGTTATGTCATTTGCTTTACAGGAAGGAAAGGTATGTACATTTAATTTTATTTACAATTTGAATCATGAACACAGCATGTTTGTTCAATTTGGCGGTGTTCACATGACTTTCTAACTTCTGGGTTCAGCACATTTGGACAACACGTCCAATATGAAATACACCTTGTACTAGAAAATGATACATGTAATTGGCCACAATAGAAGTGGAGATGTCTGTCATATATTCTGTGTGCTGTAAAATTTAATGCATTAACTATTCACTGGGTTTTAATGTCACTATTTTCGCTGATAAGTAAAATCAACTAAATTAAATCTACCTGAACATGTAAAATAACAATATTAACTCATTGTTTTCTTGACACATTCATGAAATTGTAACAGTGAATGTGCTCAAAACACTGAAATATTGAAATTAAATGTCAGTGAAAATAAATGGGTTTTTACAGTATTGGGAGTCTAATGTTTATATTGGATGATATTTATTGACACAACTATTTGCATATTCCTGAGCGTCTTTTATGTTGCTACGTCATCAGTTTTTTCAAGCTGTACACGTGTTTGAAGCAGTCTATTTGTATTATTGTATCTGGTCAAATATGGCATGAATTATTTTTTCAAAATCTGTTGTTTTTGTTCAATGCAAATAAATTCTCTTTTGATGTTTTTCCATGATGCAATGTTGAAAATATTCCAAAATCATGTGCAATTATTTAAAGTTTGGCAATGTGTTCAATTTTCTGCAAGTGTACATCTCAGAACTAATTCGTAAATTTGCAGTCTTACAACATGTCAGCCATTTGATGATTTTTACACATCTTTCTACATGAGAAATAGAAGACGTCACCTGACTGAGTTTCTTCATAGTGCATGTCTTCATTTCTGTGATTGGATTCAACATTTACAGCAACTCACTATCTTTTAATCAGCACAAAATTAAATGTTTTTCTGCTGACTTTAAACTTATTGAAAGATTGCCTGATAGAAAAACTATGCCTTATTTACTGTGTGTAACATGTTCAGCTTATGCTACAGAAACCAGATTAGTTCAGAATCAAAAATTTTTCGTATTCGCCCATTTCCTAAAATGATCAAGCACCTCATATGTTTTTTATTCTGATAGGATTTCCACTGATTTGTCATTTTTTTTTTCACAAATAAAAAAAAAAAAGCTTTGAACATTTACAAATTGTTTGTTAAATTTCCCTTTCACACAGACTGCAGTACATTGTCACGCTGGACTTGGGCGTACTGGTGTACTCATTGCATGTTAACATTCCCTTTCACACAGACTGCAGTACATTGTCACGCTGGACTTGGCCGTACTGGTGTACTCATTGCATGTTACCTTATATTTTCAAAACGAATGGATGCTGACCAAGCTATTCATTTTGTCAGAGAAAAAAGGTAAGACAGTGTCTTTTTATCATGGAATGAGTATATCACCAAACTAAGTATGTATTCTTGTTTATAGATCAGATTTACATTGACGACAATGTTAGCATTTCACTGTGTCTCTACTCTACAGGTTTCAAATTTTAAAAAATTGTTCTGAAATCAAGTTTCACCAGAAAACAACACATGGAAACAAACAACCCCAGCTTGAGAAAACAAACATTGTTTTTATAAATGCTATATGATTTAAACTATGGCTGCTGATGGGGATGTTAGTTGAGACCTTGTAAAAACCAATGATTAAATTGATGTGTGAAAAGTCATAATGATTTCATTAAGACTACTCTGTAAGTGCCCTTAATCAATCAATCAATGTTCATCATTGAAGTACTACCGTACTGGTAACTCATGAGCGGACGAAATGACCACTTGGCATAGTCACAATTGGTGGTTACAGTGAGTGTAAAGTCATAATATTATGTTTGCTTTCTCGATAAGCAGTGCCTGCAATGTTTATAACAGTACAACACTGTGTTATATGAAGAATAGCATTCAAATTCCATGGTTCTTGGTGACCACATCACCTGCAGCTAGCACAGTCGTTCCATGCAGAATCAATGTAAACCAAAATGAAATGCAGGCCATGAAAAAAGGGCATGTTATATGTGCATGCAGAACACATAATGTAAATCACTAACCAGGGACTTCCGGCGGGGAGAGGGGGTCACATCATGTTTTTTTCTTCAAAACAAAAGTTTTAAGTGTATACTGAACCTCAGCCCAAACATTCGGTCCGTGCCTGGCTGACACATGGTTATAAAATAAAAAAATGCACAAACATTTGTACTAATGTAAACATCACGCAATGTTTACTGTGGAAACAAACATAATATTATTACTTCACCCTCACTGTAACCATCAATGGTGATTACGTTGAGTAGTCGTTCCGCTCAGGTGTTATCGGTAGTACGGTATATATTTATGATTGATTGCCAGAAACACTTTTGTAGTTTTTTTTGCTCAAATAACTAGGTACATTTATCTGTAAATATAATTAATATATTGTCAAAATACAGTAGCACAAGCATTAAACTGCTGTATCAAATTTGCTCCATTAGTATTGCATTCGTTTAATATGTAATTGACAGAGGTCTCTATGGTCAAAATAAACCATTGCAATTTTGGATTTATTTGCATTCCTGTTTCAAATATTCAGTACTAATAGAGCATGTACATTATAGTATCATGTTTTTTATATCACTTTTGATGTTTTCCTGAAGTGATCAAATTTGTTCTTTTCAGACCCGGTGCGATTCAAACAAGGGGACAGATTGAGTGCTGTCAACAGTTTGGGCAGTTTCTAATTCCGTTAAGAGTAGTATTTTATTCAATGTAAGTATAATGGAAATAATTGTAACTGATATTATACACAATAGTCAATACCCTAATATTGGCAATATTGTCAGTAAGATTGTAATAACAGTATGATGATTATTAGTCCCCGTTCGGACACAGTCCGAAAACGGGGACTT